AAGCTTTTACATCTCTCAGCATGGAGGACGAAGAAAGCTGTACATTGTTGGCTTGGGAGTCTGCACATTTAGACCAGATTTGTATTTGCACTGTCAGTATGGCAAATGAATGAAAAGCTGTTAATACACTATTGGATTTTTTATTTGTTTTTGATTCAGCTTGTACCCTAGCTGAAAAACCTCAATTTAAGTTCATGACAGTGGGATTGTTTTAAATGTCTATATTCTTTCTAATAAACTGTTGGAAGACTTCTGAAAATAAATAAATAAATAAATAAATAAATAATAAAATACACTTGTTTGTGCATAGATGTACATACATACATGAATATCTGTATGTGTATATACACCTAGACGAACACAAACAAGCAGATACAGGTGTATGTACAAACACATGTTGTACACACATAACTAGAATTACCACCTTAGGTTTTGGTTATTGAAATATTTTATTTGGTTCTTACCTGGTTATAATGGGATCTGCAGCATGATTTGGGCCCCATCTCCCCAAGAGCCCCCGGCCAACCAGGCCCGTCCGTCCTGCAGGATTTCTGGTGGAAAAACACATATATATGCATACAAATATAAAATGAATTGAATATGCTCATCTTTTTAAATCCAAAAACGGTACAACAAGCAGTAAGAGGGAAGTAATACATTCCCACAAATCCAGCATTGAAATCATTCTCATTTTATTGTTACTCAATTGTTCTTTTGCACATCTTAAGTTTGATCCCCAAAGAGGAATCATTTCCAAAATGGTTCCATGATACACAAATTTGTTTCCAATTTCACTTACCCTCCTAAGTTCAAACTAGCACCTTACTGGATTTTCATCATGCTCCATACCTAAACTCTATCTCTAGAAGAGTTTTTTGGCTGTTTTCTTTTTTTGTGGAACCGGGCATTGAAGTCAGACCCTTGCACTTGACAGGCAAGCGCTTATTCTACTGAGCCATCTCCTCAGCCCCAAGAGTTTATTTTTCAACTATAGCCACACTCTCCTTCACTTTCTCATTGTCTTCTACTCCACTCTCCTAAAACACATCGTACTGAAGTATGTTACATTCTAAGTCTATTTTTCCTCAGTAGGTTCTGTATTTTTATTTCTAGTAATATATGTTTTGAAGCACATAATGAGGTAGTATTACTTAATATTTCACAGATTGTAAGTATATCAAAGTTCAATTTTATAAATATACCAACTTACTTTTTTCTCAATACTGGGGACTGAACTCTGAGCCTGGGACATGCAACCACTCTATACTGAGCTGTACCCAGGGCAACCCACTTCTTAACCTAATGCCATAATTGAGTGTTAAAGACTGCCAGATACACACATCACACTCATACCTGAGTAAGTTTATTCCAGTCAATGTTTAATGTTTAACATTGTATACATAATGATACCCACTGTTTAACATTGTGTATCATTATGTGCTAATAAACTGCCCTAATCTGCAATCTTACCTGTTTTAATATTTTTTCTCTATTAATGTCTATTTTCACTAAGTGAAAGTAAACAAACAACTTGCCACTACTCCTTGCTAGACATCTCTTTTCATTCTAGTCTTCTCTATGACTATATTAAAACCAAATTTACTTTCTTATATCATTAACTATAGATTATGTGATAACTATTAAGTGGCTAAACTTCATAAATCCATTGGAAAACACAGAACTACTGACTATGGTATTTTGTGGAGAAATTTGGTCTTTAAAAACTGAATGAATTTTATACTGTTTGGCATTGGAGTCAGATATATTTCAGCAAGACTTGCAAATATACAGAAAGACAACTGGCCAGCTATCAATAATTCCTTTCAAATTCACAGGAGGACGGCCAGGGTGGCTAACAACCGTATTTTATTCCATATAAGTGTACACTCTGAACACAAGTCATCAAAACCAAGTATTATGAGAGAGAATGTTAGCTTTTATAGATAGCTGTGATAGTTGACTGACTGTGTCAACTTAACTGGCTCAGGGTGTGGAAGACCCACAAAAGTGGACTGTCATCAGAATGCTATAAAGGCAATCAAACAAGAAAGGATTGCTTCTGTCTTCTGAGACGTTCTGGTCTTCATCTTCACCTGGAACATCGTCTTCTGGCTTCCAGCACAGACTCTTTAGCTTCCAACATAAACCCCTCAGCCTCCTGATTTGGACTTGCCGAGGACACTACACGGAGCTCCACACCTTCAACTGGATTCTTCAGATTCCCAGCACAAACAAGACCTTTTGCACTCTTCCACACCTAACTCTAAGGGGAGCCCCTATAACCAATCTGCAAATGCGTATCCATTTGTGTAAGTAAACTCTGACTGATATAATCACCAAACTTAAAGCTTACAAACTAGAAATGGAGGAATATACCTGGAGATTATCTTAGACCGAGAAAGTTGCTTACAGAGAGGAATGAAGCCAATGTATAGAAGAAAACAGAGATGAGGCAGAGAGAGGGTCCTAAAAAAGGTCCCATTCTCCCTTTTCCCAAAGTTACAAGTACTTCTGCTTTGGGCTCACTGACACAATCCTACAACCTAAAAATAAACTGGACTTTTTGCTCAGGCAAGTTATAGCTGGTGTTTGTTACACACTCTTAACTAATAATGTGTCTTGGCCACTGCCCATCGTATCAGAGAAATATAATTCTTTTCATATATTTACGCTGAGAAGAACCTACAGAATAAGTCAAATTTAAGTTTACTTACACAGGCCAAAATAAAATCTGCTATTCAGTATAACTAATGTGCACTAATAAGTAAAAGAGTGCAACTTGAAAAGATTCAGTAACTCGGAAAAGGAACTAAGTTATGACCAAAGAATTTAACAAAACTGAAAGACCAGGTTGGAGTAAGAGAAACACTACCATTTCCTTGCCCTAAAGAAACTAAGAATAAAATGTTTTTATATTTTATGTGGAGATAACCATGATTGTGATCTTCACTTTATTGGAGGCAAGCTAACTTTTACATTTATTTACTTTTATAATGTCTTCTTAAGGAAAACAGATGATTTGGGAGTTGTATAGATAACCATTTTAAAAGTACAAAAAGAACCTTGATATTAAAATTAATAGTTTAGATTTGTTCAGTCTTAAATGTTTAGGTTTTTTTTTGTCGTTGTTGTTGTTTTTTAGTATTTTTGAAAAAAGGTTTCACTATGTAGTTCAGGCTGGCTTTGAACTCACCTTGTAGCCTAGGCTGGCTCAAACTCACATCAATCCTGCTGTCTCAGCCTCCTGAGTGCTGGGATTATAGGAATATTCCACCATATCTGACTTGGACAAATTCTTACATTAAATGACCCTATTTAATATATAACTATTGATCTCAGCAGTCTAAGTGCCTGCCTGGCAAGCTCAAGGACCTAGGTTTGACCCCCGTAGCACATGCCATGCCAGCCCCAAAACTAGGTGTGGTGGTGCATGCCTGTAATCCCAGGGAGGATGAGACAGGAGGATCACTACGAGTCCTAACTGCATAGCAAGACCCTGTATCTAATACAGTAATTAAATATATATAACTACTGAAAATCATAATTTGCAATCTTTTCTCTACTAAGTTACTCAATTATTTTTACTTTCTAGTTGAGATTACAAAAAGATGCATCTGAATCACACTTTTTCTACTCACTACTCATGTGCAAACTGCTTACACTCTTTCTTATCTGTAATATCTTCTCTAAGAAGACATTATCTGAAATCAAAACTATTCACCCAGCTTTGTAAAGATTTTTTATTTTTATTTTTATTTTTTATTTTTTGGTGGAACCGGGGATTGAACTCAGGCCCTTGCACTTGCCAGGAAAGTGCTTATTCCACCAAGCCATCTCCCCAGCCCCATGTAAAGATTTAATTGGATTACATACATAAGTTTTGTGCCATCTTTGGCACATATGGTAACATGATAAATGTCAACTATCTTCTCTATTTTTGAAGACCCACTATTGTTAGATACTCCTCTCTCGGTACCCACCTGGGTCTCCCATTTTCAATTTCATACAGGCCATTCTGGCTTTTTCTCTCCACATGCCCATCCTTCTCATTAAACTTGGGAGAAAAGTTACTTTCGCTGAAACAAAAGTACCAAAACAAAGAAATAATGATTCAATATTACCAATAGCTTAAAAAACATGTTAGCTTATTCATATGCAATATCCCTGAAGAATGAACTTTTCAGTTTAATTTTCATTAATAAATCCATTTTATGCCTTTAAAACAGTTTCTAAGGGGACACAAAACCCTTTGTAACCAAAACAATTACTATTAGACTTACTAATCACCTCTTGGAAGGATTAACAGCAGAAGAACTGAATCTCCCACATGCTAGCTAGCTAAGTTATTAGCAACAAAGAACTGAATTGGGGGTTCGTCACTTGTTGCGGGAGGGAGCGCGAGCCCCCGGTGTCCCAGACCCAGGCCATAGGTGAGCATGGCTGAGCAGGAGCCCACAGCTGAGCAGCTGGCCCAGATCGCAGCTGAGAACGAGGATGAACACTCAGTCAACTATAAGCCCCCTGCCCAGAAGAGCATCCAGGAGATCCAGGAGCTGGACAAAGACGACGAGAGCCTGCGCAAGTACAAGGAAGCCCTGCTGTGCCGTGTGGCTGTCTCTGCTGACCCCAACTGCCCCAACGTCATTGTGACCCGTCTGACCCTAGTGTGTAGCACAGCCCCTGGCCCACTGGAGTTGGATCTGACAGGTGATCTGGAAAGCTTCAAAAAGCAGTCCTTCGTGCTCAAGGAGGGTGTGGAATACCGGATAAAAATCTCTTTCCAGGTGAACAGGGAGATTGTGTCTGGCATGAAGTATATCCAGCACACCTACCGGAAAGGTGTCAGGATTGACAAGACTGACTACATGGTGGGGAGCTACGGGCCAAGGGCAGAGGAGTACGAGTTCCTGACACCCATGGAGGAAGCACCCAAGGGCATGCTGGCTCGGGGCAGCTACAACATCAAGTCCCGCTTCACAGATGATGACAAGACTGACCATCTGTCCTGGGAATGCAACCTGATCATCAAAAAGGAATGGAAGGACTGAGGCCTGGCTGGGAGGCGGGCAGGGTAGACAGACAGACGGATGGACGGACGAACATGACCCTCCCCATATTCCTCCCCACCCCAAACCAAAGTGCTGACAGGGCCCCTCCCCACCACCTCCATCCCCCCTCGGTCCATCTCTGGAGAGCTCCTCCACCCACCTGTTCCCTGCCCTTCTGCCCATAGGCCCCTATGGTCTCTAGTGTCACGCTGCTGCTTCTGCCTGTGCCGTGTTGGGGTGGGGGGCTCCAGCCCGACCTCCCCCCATTTCTGTCTCCAGGTTCCCTGGCTGTGATCTCCCCCAGGCCCAGACTAGGCCCTGGCTCTCAGAAGGGCCAGGAGCTATGGGGCTGCATAGCCCCGTATCTGCCCTGGCTGAGCTGGGGTATGCACTGCAGGGCCCTGGCCGGTCCACTTATCCCTCCCTGGCCAGTCCATTTGTCGCTGTCAGTCACCGTCTAACCATGATGCCTTAACATGTGGAACATGTGCTGGGGGCCGTCGCTAACCCTTAACTCTTGTCTGCATGAGCATGTGGTCTCCCTGTCCCTGCCCTGTCTGATCCCACTGACCTGGGGAGGCCTAGGGTGTGCTGCTCTTGCTCCTGCCTAGCCTACCAGGGCCTGGCCAGCCCTCTCCTTACTCCAGCCAGGGCTCGGGGAGGGCCAGATTGCCAAAACCAAGCGCCTCCAGCCCCATCTGGGAGGCAGGTGTGCTCTGCCTTCTCTGCCCCCTGGGCAGTGCTCACAACCCCCTCCCCACAGGTAGCCCTTGGGGGACAAAGCCAGCTGCTGAGCCTTACTTGTCCCACCTGGGCCCCATGGCCCTGAAACTTTGTGCCTGGCCTGTCAGTATTTATTGCCTCCATTCATACCATCCTCTGGGCCAGGTGGCCTGCTGCCTCTGCCCTGGCTCTCAGTGCCACCATCCCCAGGCAGGCCCTCCCTGGACCCAGCCAGGACAAACATAGGACCAAGTGCACACACAGTTGGGAGCTGTTTCCTATGCCTCCTCTTCCCCCTCCCCGGTCCCCAAGTGGTGTTTGTGAGGCCCAGGCCTTCACAGGCAGAGGAGCCTATCCCTGCTTCTATTCTGACCGGGAAATAAACACCCCTGAAGGAAAAAAAAAAAAGAACTGAATTGGGTACATTAAGGCAATTACTGGTTTTAAGGTAGTTCCTAAAGTAAAATTTTTTCTGAGCATCCTGATGTTCTGTCAAAGTAACTTAAAGTTTCTTTACATGCATACTTGCTAATTTATCTAAGTAAACCCACAAAAACAGTGGACTGAGCCCATAATCTGTACAATAAAGACTGTGGATTAAAAACAGACACAATGGGGCCGAGGAGACAACTCAGTAGAATAAGCACCTGGCTGGCAAGCACAGGGTCCTGAGTTCAATCCCCGGTACCAAAAAAGTAAAGAAAAAAGAAAGAAAAAAAAGGCTTCTTTAGTTGTTTAAAAAAAAAAAAGAGTTCTGACCAATCCTGTTGAATACTCATCTCCCTACCCCCCACACACACATACACATATACACACATACACACACTTCATCTCTACTTTTTCCACACTGCTGTAATTTCTTATCATTCTATTCTTAGTAGTCTGGAAATTTTCTTTTTCTTTTTTTCTTTTTTTCTTTTTGCGGAACCAGGGATTGAACTCAGGCCCTTGCACTTGCCAGGCAAGCGCTTATTCTATTGAGCTATCTCCCCGGCCCCCTGGAAAAAATTTTGAAATATTTCCACTACCTCAAATATATGCTAGAAAATAACCACAAAAGACATACTATTGACAATCCAAACAAAACATATGCAAATGGATACTATTAATCGTTATTTCATAGCAAAAAGCTGTTTTATCACTCAAAATAGATTGACATAATAGGAAGAACATCTAAAACACCCCAAATAATAATATCAACTCTTTCTTTTGGCAAAAATCCAACCAAATGTGGAAACTGAGGGAACAAAATCAAACAGATAAAAGTGGTTTTTCAGGTGTCAAATGATTTACAAATATAGCATTACCTTCTCCAGAAGTCTTAAACGCAGCTAAGGCTCAATTCTTTGCTCACCTGATTTGAGGGTCCGCCCACCTAGGTCCAGCCAAGACAGAGAGGGCAGTATACTCCACAGGATTATAGTCTTGCCATTCAACGAGCCAGCCTACTTTCTCATTAGGAACCTGGCTTCGTTCAACTTTGGACCCTGGGTAAGGCGATGTCCGAGCCTTGTTGTGAGAATTCTCTTTGCCACCATTAGAACTGGACATGATGGTAGAGTTGAGATGAAGCCACCGAGATGAAAAGGAGTTTCTAGGGAGGAAAAATATGTACAAAAGAGACAAAAGTATATTAATTTAAAAATCTAATTCAAAGGCCCTAAGAACATATTTTTCAATTTCACAAACTTTTAAAACTCAAAACAAAACAAAAAAACTCAAAACATTCAAAAATTTGAATATTAATAAGTCAGTACATTTATGAGAAGTTTACAAACAAAAAGAGTTTTACAATATAGCTAAATTTCATTAATTGGAGCCTAAGCACTGTATTTTTTTTTTTTTTTTTTTTAGGGGGGGGACTGGGGATTGAACTCAGGCCCTTGCACTTGCCAGACAAGCGCTTATTCTACTGAGCCATCTCCCCGGCTCCAAGTCACTACATTTATTTTAGCTGACAAATAAGGAAACACAAGAGGGAAAGTTTATTACAAGCAGGCAATCACACAAACAAATGTAAAACAAAGTTGTAAAGTCTAGGTGAAGAAAAACATGTTTTGAAAAACAACCTGCATGCTAACATATTTAAAATATATGGCAAAAATAGCACCAACAAATAAGAGTGCAAACATGTTGTAAAGCTTTTGTGTTAAATATAAACTAACATTATTTGAAAGTACAATATAAGAAAGATTTATGCATGCATAAACTTTAAAGGGAAATCTAAAGTAAGATGTATGTTGTGCTTGATGCTACCATTATTGCTAACTGAACTACGGTAGTTAGGATGTCAATTTGTGATAATCAGTTGTTCTCCCTTGTGTAACAACATTGGGAAGTTCTGCAATGATAACCTCACCATACTCTCCAGCAAAAGACTGCAGACAGACCCAAGTGGAAATCAACATTCTACTCTCAATTAATAGGGAAGGTACATCTTGGGACAGAGACAAACCAAGAATCTCCTACACCCAGAAGATATCTCTTTTACATATCTATAATATTCAAATAACGGAACTTAACAAAAAAAGGGCATACAGATGAATGTCCATTTGGTATCTGTGTATTCAAAGTAATTAGCATAGATATATAGTTACATTCTCTTAATGGACAGAGCGGTTTGTTCTAATGGTGTTTGTAAATAGGCTATCATGTCCGCATCTTGTACAGCAATTAACCACTAGGAAGAATGTACGCAATGTGCTAATTATTGAAACTGTCCTACCAATTTGATTTGAAACTGTCTCATTGTTATTTATCAATAAAATTGTGGGGAAAAAATAATTTCAAAAAAAATAATAAATAAATAATAAAATATTAAAAAAAAAAAAAAAAAAGAAGATATCCCTGAAGAACAGACGTTTCCTAGACAGGCCTTGATACTGGTGATACAACTACATACAACTAAAACTCACAAGGATGTCAAAGAAAACAAAATTGGGGCTGGAGAGATGGCTCAGTGGTCTAAAGCACCTACTTGAAACAAGCTTGGCAAAGCATAGGGACCTCCGTTCGATCCTCCAGCACCACATGCCAGCCAGCCCCGACCCTGGTGAGCTGAGCTGGCCACACACACACACACACAATAAATAAATGTAATAAATAAAAATAAATAAATATTTTTTAAAAAAAAGAAAAAAGAAAACAAAATTTAAAAGAAAATCTGAAATAGAAAATGTCAAGACAAAGGACCAAAATGCAAACTCTGACCTCCAGCCTACCCAGAACAAATCCAGGAGACTTCAATATAAAAGAAATTGGAAGTCATACATCTGAAATTTCTGAAATGATAGCAAATGAACTAAAGAAATAACTCCACAAGGCTATGGAGGAGCTTATGTCAGAACAAGCAAAAGAACAAAACACCAAAGTTATTAGAGAAAAGAAACAGATCACCTATAAAGGAAATTCCATCAGAATCACAGCAGACTTCTCAAGACAAACAATCAACTAAGGAAGAGCTTGGAGTGAAGTATTTCAGGTCGTGAAAGAAAAAATTTCCAACATAGATTGATGTACCCTACAAAACTTTATTTTTTAAAGATTTTTTATTCAGTATTTAAGTAAGATTAAAACCAAAAAGATGTTGTTTGCAGCTGATGAGCAAAAAGAGAAAAGTTAAACAAATACTATCATCTGATTGGCTAGTTAAAATGCTCTAGAAGTCAAAATTACTCAGTGACACACCAGTTACTTTGCGTGGACTTAAAGAATCTTGAGGATAAAAGGTATTCTACACAAAACATGTCATCTGAGAGCACAGGGCTAAAGGGCATATAAAATACTGAAGCAGCAGCTGATATCTCAAAGAAGCCCTTGCAGACCTTTTGATTTTTTAGGCATCTGGCAATTGTTACTATATGCAAGGACCTAGCAGTCAGTTATTTTATGTCCTGACTTTTTTGAGTTAAACACTTTAACCCATACCCACTAAGCAGGAATAGAAGCACTTTATAGATCAATTGGAAAACACAAAGCAGATCCACTTCTCCAGTACAGTAAGAAAAATAATGATTACTATACATATTTTAACTTGTTGCACTACATCTACTGAGCAGAATTTCCATTGCAAGTGTTTCGTCTTCACCATCACCTTGAGTTCTCAATCTACCTATCTTTCCCTCTTTTTTTGAAATCTTCCCCTCATTTTTCTACAACTCTTTTACTTTTTTTTTTTTTTTTTTTTGGTGTATTTTGGGGGGGGGGGACTGGGGATTAAACTCAGGCCCTTGCACTTGCCAGGGAAGCGCTTATTTCACTGAGCCATCTCCCCGGCCCTAGAACTCTTTTTCTGACTGGTTCCCTTTTTTCTGATTTGCCAGATGATGCAGGGTTTGAAGGTTCTGGTGAGGGCATTCTCACTGGTGGGTGTGTGTGTAGAAGGAGGAGTACTAAATAAGCTGCTAATCGATCTCCAGATGGCAAGAAATGGGTAAAGTACTGTTCCCAAAATGTCTCCACTGGAGGAATGCGTGACAGATGTAGCTGGTCTTTCTGCTGGTAACAGCATCACTGAAGCACTCGGGGTAAGTTCCAAATCTGGCAATTTCTTTTTATAATCTTCTTTGGTAAATTCCCTCCTGGGAAACACGGTTGCTAATGAAAAATTACTGTAAGTGTTGCCAACAGTCTGTGCTGCAAACTGTCTTGCTTCTTCTAGAGAAGCATCAGAAGGAAACGGATTTGTAAAGGAAGAACCATCAGGCAGACAAAACTCAATTCTTGCACTGGTGCTTCTTTCTCGAGCATATGATTCCCTCTTGCCTTCCATTTCTGCTTGTTTGGCCAGCAAGGCAGTAGCTTTGGCAGCCTCTACTTCTTCCTTTGTCTTTGCAAAACTTCTTCCTCTCTCTCTGCACAATCCAAAGCCAATTTGCTGTTTTACTCATTCTCGAGCTGCCCTATCTTTCCAACATTTTTTGTTAATTCTCGTTTTCTTTTATAGTCTAACATTTCTTTTCCAGTTTTTCTCCCTTCAAGTTCCTTCTTAACCTCTGTTCTTCTCTCCTTTTTTCTTCTCTCCTTTCAAGTTTTTTGTTAGTCTTTCCACTCTGACAGTGAGATCCTCAGCAGGTCTCTGATTTGAACATTCATTGGGCTCCTGAGAGGGAGTTGGATGGCCCAAGCTTTCTCCTCCTGTTAAAGAGTACCTGATTTTGTATCAGAAGTGATAAGCGTCTGGCAAAGCTCTACATCCCCTGATTGAGAGTCTTCAAAAGTGTCATTAGGTTCAAATGATGGAGTAGGCAGATGGAGTAGACACTAAATTTTCAGACTGGCTGCCATTTGCCACTGATGGTTCACCTCTTAATGAGTGCATCTGTTGGACTTTGTGAATTCTCGTAACAAGTTCATCTGCAGAAATACGTCCTGCTACTACTTCCAAAGGGATATTACTGTCTCCAACAAAGAAACTGGATGAAACACACACTACAGGATAGATGTGTGAAAACTGTAGGCAGGCTTCACTTTTGGTATCAATTTTAATAACAACAGAACTATTTGCAGATGCTTTGGTCACGTTCTCATCTTCCCAACTTGCAGCCATCTGTGTAGACTGTTCATCATCATCTGCCATGAAGACCACAAACACTGCGCCTCTCCTCTTCACTGACGCCAGAGAGGCTGGAATGGCACCCCAGAACAACCAGCATCACTGTCCTTGGGCCTTGTCACTCGCTTGTATGTACGCTTGTATGTACTTGTCACAGTCCCAGAGCTGGCCCCGCCTTCCTGCTTCTTAGAGCCCCGTTGCCTCAGGTCAGGTCCCTGCCTCCAAGTCCTCACTACCATGCATGCCTGACAGCCACTGTCCGGGACACGTGCAAGTGCATGCCTTACCCCAACTATCTTTCAAAATTAATGGAAAAATAATTGACAAAGAACAACTAAAGAAAATAAATGAATGATAAATGACAAAGAACAACTAAAGAAATTCATAACCACCAAACCAACCCTACAGAGTACTGAAAGATATTCTAGAAATAGAAAAGAGCACCTCAATTCTAAGAAAAACAACAGAAATAAAACACAAAGCTGGGCAAACAACTAAAGAGTGGGGTAAAGTAGGGAACCAACAGCAAGAAAATAACATGACAAAGATAAGGCAATACATTATCAGTTATAACCACTCATGTAAATGACATCAATTCACCAATCAAAAGAAACATTCTGGCAGAGCAGATCAAGAAACAAAATCCAATAGCATTCTGCATATAAGAAACACATTTAGCTCAAAAGGAAATTCATAGATTGAAAGTCAAAGGATGGAAAACAATACAAGAACCCATAAAAAAAGCAGAAGGAGGTATCCTGTTTGCAGACAATGTGAACTTAAAACCAAGAATGATCAAGAGAAAAAAGTCACTACATATATTTTAGGAGTAAAGTTAGGAGATAACAATCACAATTACATATGCACCAAATATATAAGACAAATATTAATAGACATGAGAAATCATGTTAACGATAAATTGTAACAGGGGACCTTAACAACTCACTGTCACAAAGACATGAATCAACTAGACAAAAAAAAATCACCAAAAAAATAACAAGTGAATCAAACTTGTGAAAAAAATGGACTCAATAGACCTT